TTCTAGTATGAAACTGATACAATAAATGCTATTAATTGCATATTAGTTCTAATAGGACTCTTGTAATGTTCTGACCGTTGTACAATTATTGTTCCTTTAAGTCCACATTCCTTCCGTTAATCCTGCCTGCCGCCAAATAGCTATGCATGAATGATAGCCTACCGCGTAAGCCCTGGGAATATCCCGACCTCACTAAAACTCCGCCCAGGCTCGAGGTCTGCTGTCCATCCTGGCCCGGCTGTGGGTTCCTGTCGTGGGTCTGATTCCTAGTTAGGCCCAGCGACTAATTATGCTAATCCCATTTATGGGCTGATCCCGTTAAGGGCTAATCCCGTTGAGGGCTTGATACCGTCATGGGCTAATCTTGTTGAAGGCTTGATCCCGTCATGGGCTAATCCGTATTTCCGTAATTGGGCCATGGTCGGTGTCCATGGTACCATCAGGAGACAAGCATAGTAATTTACTGATACCGTACTGTTACTGAACCGAAACATCAGTATACCGAAATGCGATATACCGAAACTTCGGTAAGGTAAGAGTATGTAAATTTTGTAAACCAAAAGTTTTGGTATGCAAAAGGTATGAGAGGAAATATTCGGTATAGCTTATGTGGCAACACATAAGCTATACCAATGTATGAGAGAAAATATTTACAAAAGGTATTCCACATAAGCCATACAGGTTGCCAAACGGTATGAGAGAAAATATTAGGGCATCTCCTGTGTGGAGATGGATTGCTATTCCACATAAGCCAATGCACTCTATTTACAAATGTAGTTTCCAATGTAAAAACAAATGGACCTAGTCATGCTTAGTTGACAATCACAAAAGAGGGACAAGGTCTAGCATGAGGTCCATATATGGATAGGACCTTGGGTCTCACCTTGGGGCAAATTATAAGGTACACCCGGGTGTACATGTACACCCGGTATTTTTGTAATTATTTGCAAGATGCAGGTTATTAATTACGGAGCCAATTATTTGTTTCCTCCGTTTTTCTCTTCGTCTGACGCACTCTCTTCTAGCTCTCTTTCACTTTTTGTATTTTACATTTTCACTCTAATTTTGAACTCCTATTTTTTTATGTAAATTTCCTACAAGAAATTTTTCATGTAATTCTTTCAAAAATTCATATCAAATGACAATTCAATAAAAAATATACCTTTCTCACTCTTCTATTAAAACGTCCAACTTTCTTAATATATAAGAGTATACTATTTAAATTAAATGTACATCGGTATCCAAAGAAAAATAAGCACAATAAAATTTGTTGGTCTGAAATAAGAAATTGATGCTTCTTTATGTTATAGTGATATGAGCATACACAAATTGATATTTGAGCATACTAGAGTTTTTCAATGCGGTTTTTAAATTTTTTGATACTCATTTCGTAAGTTATATATGCCCATTTATTATTGGTGTAATGCTCATTTTAAAATGAGCATTACACCACACATTTTAAAATATCATATCCATGCATATTGGTGTAATGCCCATTTTAAGTTTATCGATGCTCATTTTATATGTTGTGTATTCTCATTTAATATTTGAGCATACTCTGGAGATTTTAAATAAGCCTTTTGAATTTTTTGATGCTCATTTTGTAAGTATGTATGTCCATTTGATATTGAGGTAATATTCATTTTGTAAGTTACGTATGTTCATTTGGTATTGATGGTATGCTCATTTTTAAAATATTATATCAATGCATATTACAAACGTACCATATTACGTTAGATTTGCATATTGAAATTCATAAGATTGAGCAAATATATAATTTAATATGTTTTTATTAAAGCTAAAATAAGAGAAATAAAATGAATTAGAAAATATGAAGTAGAGATCACGATGCTCATTTTTTAATTTTTGGATACTCATTTTGTAAGTTATTTATGTTCATTTAGCACATGTGTTATGCTCATTTTAAAATGTTATATCAATCCATATATCAAAAGTCTCATATTATATTAGATTCACATAAGATTTGATTATAGACACGAGACCACAAATTATGATATTCAATCACAGATTCTAATACTCGATAATGGAGGTTTGATTCTCTCTGAAAATGTTTTGATGGTCAACGAACAAAACTTACAATTTTCATATCAATGCTATCTTGTAAGTTAGATATGCTCATTTGTATAGGTTTCATGCTACTTAAAAGTTCATTAATGCTCATTTCACAGAAACCATGATTTTCATCTTAATAAAAGATGTTTGATGCTCAATGAAAATGTCGTTATGTTAGCCTAACAAACCTTACGAGTTTTCACATCAATGAACATTTTATAAGTTACACGTGCTCATTTGGTACTGATGTTATGCTCATTGTAAAATGTTATATTAATGCATATTTTAAAAGTATCATATTACATTAAATTCACAAATGGATATTCATGGGAGTGTATTATAGATATAATTCAAGTAGTTTTTATAAAAGAAAAAACAAGGAAAAAATTGAATTAGAAGATATGAAGAAAAAACCGTGATAATCATTGTTAGCCTCTTAATATTCAATAAAATAAGTCAGATGCTCACTAAAAATACAATATTACTCATTTAGCGGAAACCGTGACTTTTCACTTAATTTACAAAAATGACATCGAATTTTTTTGACATGTATTAGTGGTCCAGCTATCTTTCTTAGTTGGACCGTGCTTACATACACCCCACCCGAATGCAATGTATACCAAAACCCAGACGCACTGCGGTTTCCTGGTATCTACCAAAACCATAAGTCATGTCCCTCTTCGGCTCTTCCTACTATCTATCCATCGCAACCCCAGACGACGGCTCTCTCTACCAAAACCAGAAGAGCGGTGCCTTCCAGGTTGCCTACTATCCACCGCAACTAGACGGCAGCTTCTTCTCTCCATCGCAATTGACGACAATGCTGTTGCCTTCGCTCCCTGGCTGCCGGAGCCTAATTGCGGAAGAGGAACTTAGCCCAATCTATTGAGATTTTCGAGCATTGGAAGGTTCCCTTGGGAATATTTGAACAAATTCGGTATGTACTTGGTTTATTCATCAAATCTAATTTAGGGATTTTCTTGAGAAACATGTACTAGGATTTTCTTACAAGCTCTTGTTCTCGGAGCTTATTTGGCCAAATAAGTTGTTTTCTGTTTCAAACAATCATTTTTTATGCTTCTGGTTTTACTTATTTTCTGTTTTGGCAGCAAGGATTTTTCTTTGCTTTTGTTATTGCTAATCGATAAGCTATTGCAGCATAGCATTATAAACAAAATCTAACATTTGGTTTATGGCATTACTTTAAAATAGTCCAGCTATGCCATCCTGATGTTAAAACATTCCAACATTACAGTTGACTCTGCATTTTAATGTGTAATTCCTCATCCTTTCTAGTTAGCTCTCTCTTTTTATATAAAATTGGTAAATTGTGTTCAAAAAGTGAAAATTGAAAATGTACTGCACGTCTGCACCCCATCCATCCCAAATTATAGGTCAAATTTAATTTAAGAATGGTATTCATTGAGAGACAAAAAAAGTTAAAAGCAAAACCTTTAAATGTAATGTTATCTCACAGATTGTCTATGAAGTGATTCCAACATTAACAACAACAACAAGAACAACAACATCCAAGCCTTAGTCCCAAAAGATATTGGGGTCGGCTAACATGAATTGATACATGATATCACAACCAAAAGGAAAAGAAGGAATAAAGATAAAAAGATAAGCTATTATGAAAAGATAATATAAAAAAGATGAATATATATAAAAATGATAAAATAAAAAGGCTGCAAATAATGCATATATATATAAGGATAAAAAAACTAGGAAAAGAAAGATGAGGGAAAAAGATTCCAACATTAACAAACCATTAAAAAAATTAAGAAGTGTGAATAAAGAAACCAAAAAGTTAACCGAAATAGTAACTTCCACTGTCCTAATGTGTGGATTTTGATTTTTTGAAAATATCCTGGATACATGCATTGTTTTTGTTCCCTTTAGCATAATCTGGAGAGTGTAGGGCTATTAGTGGTGAAGAAGAATGTGAATATTTGAAATATCCAGTCTATGATATATACACATGAGTAGTTTGAATCCTAGTTGGAGATAATTGGATACTATAAATCATAACCAGAAGAACTTGAAAAAACTGGATACTATTGATTCCATCTTCTAATTGTGTAGTTTCCCCTTTTTATTTGTGCCATCTATATATTGGTTTAAATGTCCACATGAACATGGTTTTAAAAGGTTAAACGCACCTACGCCTCAGAGGCGTAAAAGCGCAAAGGCGCTATCAAATCGCCTGTAAGGCTTGAGCATCACCTTCCACTAACAAGGCTAACGCCTTTTTTTGCTGAGGCGGTGATGCGATCCCAGTGCGCAAGGCGTTGAAGTTTTGAGGATTGTTGATGGTGATGAGCCTGCAATGGGATTCATCTACGGTGCTATGGATTCTGCAAAAGAAAAAATTGCAGAAAATTTTGGAAATCAATATTCCACTTATAGTGAGACTTGGAAGATAATTGATGAGAAGTGGGAGCACCAACTACATCGGGACTTGCATGCTGCAGCGTATTATTTGAATCCCAGATTCAAATGGGAGGATGACTTCTCTACTCATGTGGAGGTTAAGAAAGGTTTGTATGCTTGTATGGAGAGGCTTATTTCTGATAGTAGTGATTTTAACCAAGCTGATGCACAAATGGATGAATATCGATACAAGCGTGGACTTTTCGGAATGAGGGCGGCTCAAAATTCATATAAAACACGTCCCCCAGGTAAACATTAAACTACATCTTTAATATCTTTAATGTTTATACATAGTGTACTTGTGTATTGTTGCAAAACAGATTTTTTTTTTAATTCTTTAACATTTTTTAATGGAATGGTGGGATCAATTTGGAGATCATATTCCAGAACTACGGGCTTTTGCAGTCAAAATTCTTGGCTTGACGTGTTGTTCTTCCGCTTGTGAACGAAATTGGAGCACATTCAATCAAGTCCATACGAAGAGAAGGAATTGTCTTTCAGCCATTAAGTTGAATAGTTTGGTATTTATAATGTTCAACAAGAAGTTGAAGTTTAGGAAGAGCAGATTACAAAAGAAAGAGGATAATTTGATCTTCGATAATGTATCATCTGATGATGAGTGGATTGCTGAACCGAATGCAGATGATGGAGAAAGTGTGGATGCACGTGATGAACTTGCATTAGTTGTTGATGAAATGGACAACGAATTCAGAGGTTCATAACTTAATATTTTATTTTTTTGTCCCTTCAATATACTTATTTACACTTAACTTCCATTCCGTTTCATTCTATTTTTGTGACTTTATGTGTGTAGGGGTGGACCTTACAGTTGGAACTGAAGAAGATAATGAGGCCCGTGAAAATGAAGGAGATGACAATGAGAATGACATTACTAATTTGGATACTCATGAAGAGGACGATAGGCTTAGTTTTGAAGATTAATAGTTCCAATTTGTCAATTTGCAAACTTAAACTCCTAAACTTTTATTTTCTTGTCTTAGAATTTTAATGTTTTATGTTCTTTTGAGTTTTGACTTTGGTATTTCAGTTTTATATTATTTGGACTTGAATATTTTGTAGTTATGATATTTTTACTTGTGATTTTGTTTAGATATGTTATTGTTATGAATTATCTATACCTTCTAATATGTCATAGGCTTGTAGATACACTTAAGCAATTAAATTTCGGGGCTTACGCCTCGTTACGCCTCGGAAGGCTACCCCCGAACGCCTCGAGGCCCGATTTCGCCTTTCAAAACCTTGCACATGAATTGAAGTGATTTTTTGCTCTCAAACTTCTATTTATTACCTACCCTGTTTTATTTCAGCTTTTTAAAAAATGTCTCATGATCAAGAATTTATTTTCTTTGCAATATGTTTACATATTGAAAAGATAAGTTGTTTTGGTTGAGTTTTAGTTTCGTACAAAGATGTTAATTTTCTCTCTTTTATAAAGTTTACATTAGAAGTTACAAAGTTTCATAGACAAAATTTTATAGCAGTTATGAAGTTTCAAAGATTTACATAGTTTCAAAAATTCAAAGTAGCAGTTGCAAGAAGTCTCGGTTTTTTTGCTTAAACAACAACATCCAAGCCTTAGTCCCAAAAGATATTGGGGTCGGCTAACATGAATCGATACATGACATCACCACCAAAAGGAAAAGAAAGAAAATAAAGATAAAAAAGATAAGCTATTATAAAAAGATAATATAAAAAGAGATGAATATACATAAAAATGATAAAATAAAAAGGATACAAATATCTTTGCTTAAACAAGTTGTATAATTGATTTTTGAGGTTTTCACATGATGTGAACTACTTCCTCCGCCCCGAATTGAATTGCAAATTTTGACCGACACAAGGATTAAGAAATGACAATAAATGATACTCACTTTTTACACTTTTGTCCATCTTTCTAAAAGTAGGTGCCTTTAAGTTAATGGGGAAAAAGTAAAAGTAAGGGTAAATTTGTCACTTTATTCTTATTTACATACCTAAAATAGAAAGTGGAAAACCATTTTGGGACAACCAAAAAAGGAAATTTTGCAAATCAAATTGGGACGGAGGGAGTACAAGTTATGAATTTCTTGATAGAAGTTGTGGTTCTAGCTCTGGGAGTGTGTTACATTGTTTTCTTTTTACCTGGCAGCTTTCACGGCGATGACATCTATTTGCAAATCCAAACACATAATTCAGGTTGAACCTCTTAGTTAACTACATGCTGCTAAAGGTATATAACTATATACTATGAATGCATATATGTATTTGTGACTTTGTGTGTATAAGTATATGCTCTTGAATCCCACCCACCATCAATTTATTACTAAAATATACAACATAATCCACTCCCTCCGTCAGATGTGAGGTGCCAACCAGACAGTGTTGATACCAATGCGTTTAGTAGTCTGCAGGTTTCTGATGGAATCACATAAACCCAACACTCTTGGGGTTAATTTTAGAAATCTTGAAAGCCTTTTCAAAGGCTTATTCAAATGGTTTACATACAATTAGAGACTTGGGAAATCCTGAAGCATCACTCAGGTCCTCTGCACTACTTGTGCGAGCAGGATTTAGAGTCTCAAAGGGGATAATATGATCAAAGTAGCCCTCTAAACCCAATCTACTTAGAACTTTAGACCCCCATTGTTGTTCCATAATATGGACTTCTTTTAACACAATTTTGTAAATTTTATCAGAAAATAAAGGATGAAATGTTGGTGTTTCTCGTTGGCTTTGCTTTATGATTTTCTTCCTTTCCAAAGGTTAATCTCTTGAACTTGGTTGATTGATATGCTACAGTACTGTGTTTTACTTGTTTCACTAGCATTTAGAAATGTAAAGTGTTTTGAATGTCAATGAATTTTGGTGTCATCTAAGTATTAAATAACTTCCTTATGTCATGAGAAACACGTTACTTCAAAGCATATACACAATACGAAATATTGATAAATAACAATAGATTAATCGAAGAATAGAGAAATATATTCAAAACAACACGGAATTGAAAATGAAATTGGAAAAAACTGAAATCGTAACTAATCAGGTCTAAGATATCCGTAGAGTAATCACGAAATTGTAACTAACTTAATTCAAAATAACTATGAAAAGTAACTCTAATAGTCTAATTGGTTTCATCAATAATAAAATCAAACATGTGATCGAGAGATCTCTTCAACACTGCTTCATGCAAAATGTTGAATTTATCCAAGATCAGATCTAATGTACCATCATCGACTTGTAAATTATAAAAAAAAATCATCACATAATTAATCTCTATATGTTTTTGTTTTCTAGATTAAAACATGTCAATATTGAGGTACCTCAATCTTGTATTCACCCCTACCCATTGATGCCATCCACTCGTAAACCCACACGCCACAATCATTCATGTTATAATGTACAACACTTAGAGTAGCATTAAGATGTGTATTAATAATTTTTAAGTATGATAAAACTCATGATCCAGATTGGGGTGACATGAGTGAATTGTGAAACAACGTGTTTGCTTGTTTGTTTAAACTCGTAGAAAGAACAATCTTGCAGTAGGCATCCTATAAATAATGCCTGAAAAATAAATGATTAAATAACATTTAAGAATTATAGTGCATACTTAAAAACATGAAGCACTTCAATATTTATTATATTACTATTTTGATGCTGCTACTTCTTAGTGACATTCGTGACGGATCAGGACACGAATCAAGATATACTAATTGCTACTTGTTAAAGTCAATAGCAAGTAGAAACCAGTGAAAGTTTTCATCTATGATCGGAACAAATACCTACGGTAAATTAAGTTAATAACTTCTAAAAAATTATGTGATTTCCTTTTCATAGTGAAATTCAAGAATGTGGAAGATTTTTGTATATAAACATGTGTACCTTGCGCAGCATATCAACCTTGCCCATGAATCTATCGTTGTACTGTGAAATAATTTTTCTCTCAGGAGCATTCCAAGACATAATTGATTACTGTAAAAATGAAAACAATGAATACATTCATAACTGCTAATTGGGTGTTAAAAATAAATATTCATAAGTTATATTAATATACCTACCGAAAATGTAGTAGGCAAAAAGCAATGGCATGTGTGCTTAGAAGTCGACCTTTCATTCATGGTGAGCATACACACATAAGTTAATAACCGGTAGTTACGAACGTAACAATTAGCTTTTTGAGAGTACTCTTATTGTTTAAAACGAATTTTCAATTGTACACTGTAATTAATGTGTAACTAACATTATAATAAATTGACTTAATGAAATTAAATAATAATGATTCAAGTCTAAAGATAGTTTGACAAAAAGGGTTAGAGACTTACATCTTGGTTGATCATTCTGCTAGAAATTAAATTTAGAAGTAAATTCCTACTTCCGTCGTAAATATCCATATCAGTTTTGACCAATTTCTCTAAGCTGAAAGCAGGGACACACCAATATTACAATATATTTTGTTATGTGAAGGAAAAAGATAAAAGAAAAAAATATTAAAAAACGTAAATATTTTATTACCCATCTTCTCTTTTGAAAAATATATATGTTGCCACCGTCACTTCTTCATCAGTCAAGAATGTACTCTGTTTTGGTTTGAAAATTCTCGATAAACATTACATAATGATGCAGAACTAGATGAGATCATATAATGCATTTGTAAAATAAAACTATAACAGTGCATGTTATTATACATACTTGTGGTGTATTAGTTTCCATCAACGTTGCACCGACTTGGGAGTTGATGCAATAACCTGTTGGTAAACAGGTTGTTGTTAATACCACGTCACAAACATTTTTTCTTGAGTTTTAGAAAACAGTTTCCTTTCCACTCTTTTGCTTGATTCTCCAGGATGAAATTTAGGTGGTGTGTGGGTTTGCTTAGCGGTGAATGGTAGGATTTGAGGTGGTGTTCGCTATGGGCTCGGTTTTTTGTTTTGATTAAGAAAGCACTCCTTTAAGATATCCATCGATTGAAAGATGCTGGCCATAGTAAATTCCGATTCCTGTAAGCTATCCATTGATTGAACGATGTTTGCCATAATAGATTCCAATTTGTTTACACGTTCAACGAGAACCTGTTATTGTTCTCAATGGATAGCTATCATTCCAATTGATTGAGAGGTCGCGCCTCAGGTCCAGCGACTTTGTCAATGGCCAGAATTCATTGATTGAGAGGTCGCGACTGAGGTCCAACGACTTTGTCAATAGATAGCATGCTATCGTTCTCGATGGATAGCTATCGTTCAACTTGAAAGCTATTCCATTTTGTGGATAGCAGGTTCTCGTTGAACGTGTAAACAAATTTCAATCTACTATGGTCAGCATCATTCAATCAATGGATAGTTTAAAGTAATTGGAATCTACTATGGTCAACATCATTCAATCAATGGATATCTTAAAGGAGAGCTTTCTTAATCAAAACAAAAAATTGAGCACATGGCGAACATCACCTCAAATCCTACCATTCACCGCTAAGCAACACCACACACCACCTAAATTTCATCTTTTTGGAGAATCAAGCAAAAGAGTGGAAAGGAAATTCTTTTCTAAAAACTCAGTAAAAAATGTTTGTGACGTGGTATTAACAACAACAACCTGTTCACCAACAGGTTACTACATCAACTCCCAAGTCAATGCAACGTTGATGGGAACCAGTATACCACTAGTATATATAATAACATGCACTGTTATAGCTTTATTTTACAAATGCATTATATGATCCCATCTAGTTCTGCATCATTATGTAGTGTTTATCAAGAATATTTAAACCAAAACAGAGTACATTCACTTAACTGATGAAGAAGTGGGCAACACATATATTTTTTTAAAAAGATGATGGGTAATAAAATATTTACTGTTTTTAATATTTTTTCTTTTATATTTTTCCATCACGTAACAAAATATATTGTAATATTGGTGTGTCACCTGCTTTCAGCTTAGAGACATTGGTCAAAACTGATATGAATATTTGCGACGGAAGTAGGAATTTACTTCTAAATTTAATTCCTAGTAGAATGATCGACCAAGATGTAAGTCTCTAATCCTTTTTGTCAAACTATCTTTAGACTTGAATCATTATTTTTTAAATTCGTTAAGTCAATTTTTATAATGTCAATTACACATTAATTACAGTGTACAATAGAAAATTCGTTTTAAACAATATCATTGATATGTTTTAATCTAGAAAACAGAAACATATAGAGACTAATTATGTGATGATTTTTTTATAATTTACATGTCGATGATGGTACATTAGATCTGGTCTTGAATAAATTCAACATTTTGCATGAAGCGCTGTTGAAGAGTTCTCTCGATCACATGTTTGATTTTACTATTGATGAAACCAATAGAGAGATAAATTAGTCTATTAGATTTACTTTTCATAGTTATTTTGATATTACTCCACGGATATCTTAGACTTGATTAGTTACGGTTTCAGTTTTTTCCAATTTCGTGTTGTTTTGAATATATTTCTCTATTCTTCGATTAATCTATTGTTATTTATCAATGTTTCGTATTGTGTGCTTTGAAGTAACGTGATTCTCATGACGTTAGGAAGTTATTTAATACTTAGATGACACCAAAATTCATTGACATTCAAAACACTTTACATTTCTAAGTACTAGTTAAACAAGTAAAACACAATACTATAGCACATATCAATCAACCAAGTTCAAGAGATTAACCTTTGGAAAGGAAGAAAATCCTAGAGCAAAGCCAACAAGAAACACCAACATTTCATCCTTTATTTTCTGATAAAATCTGCAAAATCATGTTAAGGGAAATCCATATTATGGAACATGAATATGGGGGTCTAAAATTCTATGTAGATTGGGTTTAGAGGGCTACTTTGATCATATTATCCCCTTTGAGACTCTAAATCATGCTCGCACAAGTAGTGAAGATGACCTGAGTGATGCTTCAGGATTTCCCAAGTCTCCAATTGTATGCAAACCATTTGAAAAGGCTTTCAAGATTCCTAAAATTAACCCCAAGAGCATGTTGGTTTCCTTTGATTTCGTCAGAAACTTGCAGACTGCTAAACGCATTGTTCTCAACACTATCTGGTTGACACCTCACATCTGACGGAGGGAGTGGATTATGTTGTATATTATATACTTATGTTGTATATTAAGTCACAAATACATATATACATTCATAGTATATAGTTTTTGGTTATATACCTTAAGCAGCATGTAGTTAACTAACAGGTTCAACCTGAATTAGGTGTTTGGACTTGCAAATAGACGTCATCGCTGTTAAAGCTGCCAAATAAAAAGAAAACAACTGTTGAGTTTAAGTCCAACATAAACTAATAGGTATAGATATAATTTGGTATAACACTCGATTTTTATGTGGAAACCCGAAAGGGAGACAATCACGGGACTTTTTAGGCTAACGTCCAAACCCGCTCTTTCTCATTAATACTCTCCTCACAATTTACATAATACAAATAACTTGGAGCCTCCATTAATGGAGTATTGTTGCTAAGCTAAGAAGAAGTAGTAGGGAGGAAGAGGAGGGGAAGACCCCTGGAAGAGAAAACCAGATCCTTTTTCATGGAAGTCTTGCTTCCTATTTATAGAAAAGAGGGGGGAACTTTCCTAGCCTAATGGGCCGGTTGGGCCGAGTAGGCCTAATGGGCTGTTTGGGTCGAAATGGGCCGGGTAGGCCTAAATGGGCCTCGTTTGCTGGGCTTTATACCCGGGTGATGCCTTAGGCCTCTGAACAGTAGTTGGCCGGGATAATATTCCCCAACACAAGTCCCCCAGTTTCTTGAGTAGTGAGCCTGTGAATCTACTCGAGAAAGTATACTCTTGTTCACGTCCCTCCTTGCCTTCCCTGAATCGCGTCTTCGAATAGTCTCGGACGCAAGGCATGCATAAGTGGTAGGTGAGGTGCAATCCCCACACTAGGCACGACGGCGCTGAAGAGCCAGTCGTTCGTGCTGCATAAAGCAGCGGTCCCGACCCTGAATGGCATGGGCGGACCTGACCGAGAAGAAGACACGACGACGCTGAGAGCCAGCCACTCGTGCTGCATAAAGCGGTGGTCCCGACCCTGAATGTCATGGGCAAACTCGACCGAGAAGAAGACACGAAGACGCGACGGCGCTGAAGAGTCAGCCACTCGTGCTGCATAAAGCGGCGGTCCCGACCCTGAATGTCATGGGCGGACCCAATCGAGAAGAAGACATGACGGCGCTGAAGAGCCAACCGCTCGTACTGCATAAAGTGGTGGTCCCGACCCTGAATGTCATGGGCGGACCCTGAATGGTACGACGACGCTGAACGGTGCTGAAGAACTATCCGTTCGTGCTGCATAAAGTGGCGGTCGCCACCCCAGATTAGGAATGGACGAGCTCGACCGATAAGTAGGCACCACAACGTTGTGGAGTAGGAATAGACGAGCCCGGTCGTGAGTAGGCGCGACGACTCTGAGGAGTCGTTCGTGCTTCATAAGATCTTCAAGAGAAGAAATGAACTCTTTTACCCCAGCTTAAACTGAATCAGCCGAGAATACCTGTCCGGTCTGATTTGGACAGATCACTCCAACTAATTGGTCGGGGACAACTACCACACTCCACTAGCCGTCGACACATTTGGGTAGCCCAAACGTGTATGCCACGCACTTGTGAACGCGGTTGTAGAACCCCTATGCTGATGACGGGGTATTCCACGGACTTAACTCTAAAAGATTCAGACCTGACGGCCCAGGACTCGTTGGTCCACCATTTGCTTTACATCATCTCCAAAACCAGTCCGATCCACCGTTCGATCTTTTTGACGAACGGATCGACAAACTTAGTTGAAATGATGACTCACACCCAATTTATAGTTCAATTCCCCCATTTGTCCCATTTGAACGGCTCAACGTACTATGCTTGAGGTGAGAATTTTAACCACAATTTGATTCCCCCGTTCGATCCATCTGGTTTTGACCAGTTTGTTCGACGGTTCGTCCATACTAGCTAGTTGTTGAGGTGATGTTCGAGGAGCCTTGATCTCCCTTTCTCTCATTCTCTCTGGGTTTTCCACATGGAATCTTGCATCCATTCCTTTTTTTTGTTTTTTTTTAATATATACAGGGACTTACAATGATGATCACGTCGTGCCGGGGTGGCCGATCGTGGAGCTACAAGGAACTGATCAGATCATCCCCGCAATAGGTCTTACAGGCGCCCTCTGCCTATGGTACGACGGCGCTGAGAGGCCGATCGTACTGCATAAAACAGTGATCCTTCCCTTGTAAAGGTGTGGGCGGACCTGACCGTGATCAAGAATGTGTGAGGGTCTTGCAGGCGCCCTCTGCCTATGGTACGACGGTGCTGAGATGTCGATCGTACTGCATAAGACGGTGATCCTCCCCTTGTAAATGCGTGGGCGGACCCGACCGTGATCACGAACGTAAGAGGGCTTACAGGTGCCTCTGAACCTATGATACGATGGCGCTGAGGGGCCGATCGTACTACATAAGACGGTGATCCTCCCCTTGTAAATGCGTGAGCGGACCCGACCGTGATCACGAACGTAAGAGGGCTTGCAGGTGCCTCTGAACCTAGGATACGATGGCGCTGTGGGGCCGATTGTACTGCATAAGACGGTGATCCTCCCCTTGTAAAAGCATGGGCAGATCCGACCGTGATCACGAACGTAAGAGGGCTTGCAGGTGCCTCTGAACCTAGGATACGATGGCGCTGTGGGGCCGATCGTCATTGATCTCCCCGCTCGAGTCTATTGAACGGCTTTGAGTGATTTCCTTTACGTTGTCAGTCATGAACGTCTCTGCGCTTCATGTCGAACGTCATTTATCTCCCCGCTCGAGTCTATCGAACGGATCCCACTGCACAATAAGCATGGTAATACGGCTGTACGGCCGAACAACGTATACAAGCATATACATACACATGCGTAATACTTATGACTACCGGCCGAAGTGGTATACTAGCCCTTGGCCTATATTCATTTTTCGCACTACCCAGGTGCTATTAGAACCACTTAGTGGTTTGCCGGGCGCTCTCAGAAAAGTACTAGCTAATCAAGGTACGTACTTCGCCCTGTAGTGGGTAAAACAGTCGTTCGAGCACTTAATGCTGAGCGGGACCATATGCGTCGTCGGGGTCATGCCCTCCTGAAGCGCTCCGATTGCTTAATTAATCATAGCCAATCAGGCCGTCCGGCCCATTAAATCCAAATCATTTAATTAAAATTGTTGGTGAGCTTATCAGCAAAGTTTCGCTCGACATTATTTATCTTGGGAAATTTAAACCCTTAGTAAATAATGGTGATCAATAAATAGTAAAAATACTAACTAAATCATTAATACTTTAATGGATGAGCACTTGATGCTGAGCAGGACTAATTTAAAATGCGTCGCCGGGGTCATTCCCTTCGGAAACGCTCCGATTGCTTAATCATAGCCGATCGGGGTGGGCCGACAGGCCCACACAAACCAATCATTTAATGATGGTAGACATGTCATCAAAGGTTGGTTCGGCATTAGTTATTTTGGGAAATTTAAATCCCTAACAAATAATAATGATGTGCAATCAATAGCTACAAAGGATTATAGTACTTAGCTGGAGAGGCTGATTTTCAGCTGCCCGTCCAAGTTATTGGCCTGATGACGATTAATTTGGCAAGGATGATCCGGTCTAGCAGTCCATGGATAGCGAACCGTAATCCCATAGCCCAAGTTCGTTGGTGACGGATAAAGGGACCATCAGTGGGTGGCCCATAGCTATTCCCTTTATATTCACCTGCTTCAGCCGATCGGGATTTCCAGAAGCCGTTCGAGGTTTCTCGTTCTTCCAGATATAATCTCCAATGTTAAGTGGAGTATCATAAAAGGCCCACCCCGATTCGTTGCTGAACTGTGGACATGCCGGTCGGCAGTCCGCTTGGACAGGTGGGTCGAACTTCTATCGTTGACTAGTGCGGCCATGATATACGAGAACGGCAGAAGTCTCGAATGACCAAAATCATGTGCGAAACGACACTAATGGCCGCACTAGTCTCGAATTGCCAGGAGCATCTCAGAAGGCATCATACGACCCCCCCGAGCGGGAATACCTTCACTGGGCGATTTGTGTGGTGATGGCTTGGTTTCAGGGTTTTCCCGTCCAGTGAAGGTATTCCCGCTCGGGGGGGTCGTATGATGCCTTCTGAGATGCTCCTGGCAATCACCTCCCTTCTGGTGACGTTCGGTCGCATCCGCTCCCTTACCTACAGGCACGGCTCTCCTTTGATCCGCTCTAGTTAATTAACTTTATTGACTGCTGGCCTAAGGGGTTTTTAGGTTAAGTGGGTTTGGAGTTCTCGTTCAAGATGGACAACCATTGGTGGGTTTGAACAGAAACGTTGGTTGGAACGTTGGATTTGCTGCTTGATTGCGGGGCTGCTGCAATATCAGGATGTCTAGACCGTTCGGGCAGGAATATGGTTGTTCATGATCGTCCCATCGCGGCCTCATCTCTTTAGTTTGGCTGGAATAGTGAACCTTCCGTTCTGCATTATTTTGAACCGCCACCTTCGGGATATTATCAAACATCTGATCTCCGCAGGCTTCTCCGTTGGTTCGGGTTGCACCTGGATACAGAGCATGCTCGGCCCGAGAACTCCCTCTCATATCCTTTTAATTTGAAAACGGTTACTCTTCCCTGTTCGATGGTGCGCACGGCCTCTTCTACAGGCCCTCCGGAATGGTCGGGCTTCGTAGAGATTTCCCATCCTAGGCTTAAGATCTTCCAAGTGATGGTGAACTGCTGGCTCCTGGGACTCCCTCCGGCTGTCATCCTTCGCTTTGGCGGTCAGGGAGTTCTCGTTCGGGAGCTGGGACATGTTTTTTGGATAACCATGAATCTGTCAAATCACTATATTGTCACGCCTCCCACGTGAAAGTAGGTGAGCATGTGGGTCCCATTCATCATTTTTCTTGCATTGTCGATAGATGCTCATGAGTCATGACTGGTTCCTACTCTTCTTGGCCCTTCTGCTTCGGTACTTATCTCGGATATGGCAGCAGTGTTGCATCTGGAGGGTTTTTTGGTTAAGCATCAGTCTGGTTTCCTCTTGCTGGCTAGCATGGCCATCTCCCTTCAGTGCTCTTCCATCCGGCCAGTAGGTCCTACTGAGTTTGTGGCCGTGACTTAGGACCAAGCTGGACTCTTTCCATTTTTATTCTTTTTTTTCATGAATCATTTTTCCTCCTTTTCTTCCTAAAATCAGTACATCTGGTGTCGTTTTTTTTTGTCGCTGTTGAAATCAGGCATTCTTCGTATGAATTTTGTGTAGAACACATGAATCTTTTTGAACAAGTTTCCCACAGACGGCGCTAATGTTGAATTTAAGTCCAACATAAACTAATTAGGGATGGACTCGGGTCCGGGCCGGGTCCGGTTCGGGCCTAGGCCCGGGCGGGCCGGCGGGTCAGAAATGGTGGACCCGGGACCGGCCCGGGTAACCACCGGGTCCGGGCCGGGCCCATTATATTTTTTTTGTTTTCCTCTTCCTAACTAACCCTCCTCCCACCCCCCCAAACCACCCCAAATGGCCCAAAATACCCAGCCCAACCCGAAAATTTAAAAAAAATTGAAAAAAAAAATAGTTTTTGGCCCGAACCGGGCCCGGGCTCGGCCGGGTCGGGCCTTGTTTTGGGTGACCCAAGCCCGGACCGGAAAACCCACGGGCCGGGCCTACCCGGACCGGTCACTGACCGGGCCACCGGGTCGGGCCGGGCCGGAACAGTACCGGTTCCGGGTCAGGCCACCCGGCCCGAGTCCATCCCTAAAACTAATAGGTATAGATATAATTTGGTATGACACTCGATTTTTACGTGGAAACCCGAAAGGGAGAAAACCACGGGACTTTTTAGGCTAACGTCCAAGTTCACTCTTTCTCACTAATACTCTCCTCACCATTTACATAATACAAATAACTTGGAACCTCCATTAATGGAGTATTGTTGCTAAGCTAAGAAGCAGTAGGGAGGAAGAGGGGAAGGCCCCTGGAAGAGAAAATCAGATCCTTTTTCATGGAAGCCTTGCTTCCTATTTATAGAAAGGGGGGGCTTCCTAGCCTAATGGGCCTAACAGGCCGGTTGGGCCGAGTAGGCCTAATGGGCTGTTTGGGCTGAAACAGGCCGGGTAGGCCTAAATGGGCCTCGCTGACTGAGCTTTATACTGGGGTGATGTCTTGGGCCTCTGAACAGTAGTAGGTCGGGATAATATTATCTAACAACAACGTAACACACTCCCAGAGCTAGAACCATAACTTCTATCAAGAAATTCATAACTTGTAGTTCACATCATGTGAAAACCTCAAAATCAATTATACAACTTGTTTAAGCAAAAAAAAACTGAGACTTCTTGCAACTGCTACTTTGAATTTTTGAAAGGGAAAAGTACGGAAAAGGTACTTGTGGTTGAGCTCGTTTTCAAATAGGGTCATGTGTTTCATTCTTTATCAAAGTGGTTCATGTGTTTGAATTCTGTTATCACAAGAGGGTCACACCGTTAAAAACGTCTGAAAAAGACCGTTAAAAGTAACTCCGATTTTCAAAAGTGCCCAAAAAATTAAAAGAAAAATACCGAAAGGTGCGTCTCGTCAAGATGACCTCCAAACCACCTTCGCCTTTAGATTTTTCAAACCCGTTTGAATTATTTTTTAAAAATGATTTTGCTAATATCAATTTGCCGATGGACTTTGGAATGACAAGGGTGGCTGAAAACAAAAAAGAAAGATGGCCTAACGGTCGTCTTATTGAGGTGCACCTTCCGATATTTTTCTTTTAATTTTTCGCACACTTTTGAAAATCGGAGTTACTTTTAACGGTCTTTTTCAGACGTTTTTAACGGCATGACCCTCTTGTGATAACGGAATTCAAACACATGAACCACTTTGATAAAGAATGAAACATATGATCCTATCTGAAAACCGGCTCAACCACAAGTACCTTTTTCGTACTTTTCCCTTTTTGAAACTATGTAAATCTTTGAAACTTCATAACTACTATAACTTTTATAGCGGATAAAATTTTGTCTATGAAACTTTGCAACTTCTAATGTAAACTTTATAAAAGATAGGAAATTAACATCTTTGTACGAAAATAAAACTCAACCAAAACAACTTATTTTTCAATATTAAAAAACTTATAATGAATAAAAACAAAAATTATTAAAACTTTCAAATAAAGAAGATTTAAATCAACTGCGCAAAAGTATGAGGTGCAAGGTGTGCGTCTCCATTGACTTTATCCAAATTTATAAAAAAAAATGGACAAGAATGATCCCAATTATATTAGTAATCTGTTTAAAATAATTCAAAATATTAATTTTCTCAAAATAATCCTAATTATTGAAAAAATTCTCAAAATACTATTGTGACTGATATATAATAACTTGTAAATGACTTATAGTATTTACGGGTCAATGAAGCATTTGAGAAATTTTTTCATAGTTGGGATTGTTTTGAGATGATTGATATTTTAGATTATTTCAAATAGATCACTAATACGCAGCAGTTGAGATTATTTTATCTTTTTTTTAAGAAATGGACAACAGACTAATCGGTCCTAGCTTAGTCTCCTATTCAATTTTTAGTAGGAAGACATTGTTTAACCATAGATTAATTAATATATGTTGCACAACAATATGACAATTACATATTTACCTAATAGAGAATATTAAGTAACTCCTACTATTCGGTCCTTGTATCCTAACTCCTAATTTAAGTAACTCTCCATTAAAGTACTATTTTTATTTTCAGGGTGATCATAAATTTTGTTATGCATTGCCAACCATGCGTCCATGCCCACAATAATATTTCGCTATTTTCAGTAACAAAGAAAAGAATAACAATTCAGAGAAATATAATCATTTTAACACGTTTTACTTTGTTAAAAGATAATGAATTGTGAACAAATTGTCTTCTCTAAATGGATCATCATTTCAGAAAAGAAGAAATAGAGCAAGGAGCACGTGGAAATAATTGGATCTTTTAATAGCCCAAAATAATCCATCGAAGTCAAACGTATAAATCCCTCCTTAGAAGTTCGAATTTGAGATGATAAAGATGGAAGTCAAGGAATATAGGAATATCATGATATTTAATTTCTTGTGATGTTCTCATCTTAATTGACTTTGTATTGCTGTTTTTTATTAGTAACGAAATGTATATGCCCCTTTTTCAGATTCCTAATTTAACATGCACGGTTTCTAAGCTATCAAATGTTTTAATTTGTGATTTTCAAATCCGCCCATGTGATACGCACTCAAAACCATTCACAATAATGGTGATTAATTAATGATAAAGTACAAGGTAAGACTTCTTTACCTTGTTCTAAAAGGTTATATCCTCAATTCCAAGAGTCTCATGCCCCAACTAAACATAACATGTCAGAGGTTCTATATCATGGTAACTCAGTTAAGCACAGAGGTTAGATTAGTGTCGTTGCGCACAAGGAATCCCTCTTAGAGATTACTCTCACATTTTCACTAGTAAGACACTAATACTCAATCTTGGGTTACTTGTTCCAAATTTCACCCATGTGACCACCTAAGCTACTCATGCGCGCGTAAAACTTTTGTTTGTCGATAAGGGAATAACGCTCTGATCCTTGTCTCAATATCACAATATTAAAAATGGGTGAAGTAAAGGGAAAATTTGCAGAATATGAGAAAACAATGTAAAATCTTAAAATATTAGAATTATATATTTTTACTTAAATAAAGGTAACTTACTATCATCTTGAAATTTCTCCATTATCAAATTTTAAGTATAACATTATACTGCCATAATAATTTACTGTGATATTAACTACTCCTATTTAAATAACAGAAACATAATGCTCATTTTTTTTCAAATTGCAAACTATTTTTACTATCTCCGCCCCATAATGTAAGATGCATATAATTTGGTCTCGAATTTAAGAAACTGGTTGTTCTACTAAAACTAACCTCAAAAGGGAAGAAAGAGAAACGGTAGATTCACAAAAAATAAAGAGTGAAATGATAGATAAAGTGATAAAGTGAAAAAGTAAAAAGTTAGTGGAGTCCAATTTTAGAAAATAATCATATTTTTTGAATAACCAAAAAATGAAAGTGTATCTTATAAAATGGGAAGTCTGCTATTTAGGACAATTTACTTAGATCAATCTTTATGTATCAACATATGGGGTTGTATTTTTAACATGAACAATACATAAAGAAACATGGCAAGAGCTAAACAACTACTTGAACTACATTCTTGGCTGACTTTGTATGTGTTGATTATCACTTCGTAAACGAATGAGCTCTTCAAATTCCTAATATTAATAAAATAACATAAAATGCTATCGAGTATAGGATTTCCTACAAAAACAACACCATTTCATTTCATTTACCCCAGTGCCGCAAAAGCTCCCACCTACCGTGGGGTAAGAGGGTCGGATGTACGCAATCTTACCCCTGTGCTAAAGCACAGAGAGACTGTTTCCAGATGACCCATAGTGAAAATCGCGTCCAAAATTGCACGGACCGACTGCTGCTCCATAACAAAGAAACGTAGACAATTTAGTGAGTCATTTTGCTTTATTCCATCATAATCTCAAGCCAAGAAATAATGAATCTTTGACTCTATTGCCCAAACATTTGTAATTCGGACTACCCATCACAGGGTCTTCATCTTTTGCTTTATTCCTCCAAAAACAACGCGATAAGTAAAACATTTGTAATTCGGACTACCCATCATAGGGTCTTCATTTACAGCAGTATTTAATGCTACCTTTAATGAAAGGGACTGGCGTCTGTTATAATTAATTAATTAATTACTCTCCTAGTTTAAAGACAGTTATCAAATAAATGTCAAAAATTGTAGCAACGCATGCTATCAAGGGAAACCGAAATAGACGGGATGTGAATATAAAAGGATTGAGGAAAATGGCCTCCAAAACGTCAACGGCCCACTGGCAGCTCAGACTGGAATTCCCACATCTGCCATTTTTCTCAGGTTATCTGTTAAACTTTAGTTTAGAAAAAAATCATTGCTTTTGCCCCAAATTCAACTTCATCAACCTTTTTAATTTTTCTTGGATTCTTGCTGTCTCAAAGACATCTTCTTTATATGATATCAAGTGAAATGCAATCTTTATAATCACAGTTTTTTCTCATAAAAGTCCATGCAGAGGTGGATCTACTCTGGGATTGTGGGAATGTGTAAAAGAACATTGTAATTTGATCGGGCCGATGGGTCTCGCTGGATTTCTATCGGATTGATAGCAATCAGTTAGGAATTCGGCATCTTCAATTCGTGCCGAATTCAAGAGCTTTTGTTGTCATTTCAGAGGTTCATCTTAAATTTAATTTTATTTAAATTGCTTGCTTGATTATTTTACTCTTTTATAATTGAATCTCTTGTATACAAAAGTGAAATTGATTCAAGTAAAATGACTTGATATAGGTCAAAAAGAAAAGGCGCCATACAAATATATATGGATGAGTTGCGGCAGATTGGGGAGGTTGTGGGGAGCCTGAAGGCCTTGATGGTTTTAGAACATGAAATTCAAATAAACCAGAGGCAATGTCGTCTTCTGGCCGACATTTTCTTTCTGGCTTTTGACACAATCTCAGATGAAATCAGACAAAACTTGAGACTGCATGAGAGGAACACAAAGTGGAAAGTGCTTGAGCGGCCATTGAGAGAACTTCATAGGATTTACAAGGAAGGGGAATCATATGTTAAGTACTGTCTAGACATCAAAAATTGGTGGGGAAAAGTCATTACTCTTCATTTGAACAGTGACTGTGTTGAGTTCCATATCCATAACTTGCTATGTTGTTTCCCACTCGTTATCGAGGCCATCGAGACAGCTGCTGAGATCTCAGGAGGTCTAGACGGTGAAGAAGATGGCGATATCGGGAGGATGAGGGGAGTTGCACTCATGAGCAATAAGTATGGATCAGACTGGATCGACCAGAAACTTTTCATGTGGAAATTTGGGAAGCAGTATCTGGTCCCAAGAGACATTTGCATCCGCTTGGAACGGGTCTGGAGGGAAGACAAATGGTCTCTCCTTGAAGACATCAGAAAACAGAAGAACAGCAAACTAGGAGAAGGGTTAATCAAGAAGTTGGACGAGTTTCCAAACGCTAACCTTTTGCATAGTTCGATCTTGCTGAGATCAAACGACTATTCTGTTAAAAGGCGTATCGGATCCGGGGGCACGACCCATCTCAAGGAGATCAACTGGTTGGATGAGAGCTTCGCATTGAGAACCTTTTATGGAGATGCCAAGGAACCACATATTGCTGAGGAGATTTCTTTGTTGCTCTCACTTTCTCATCCAAACGTACTGCAATACCATTGCGGTTTCTATGATGAAGAGAAGAAAGAGGGGTTTCTATTGATGGATCTAATGAGCAAGAGCCTTGATGTGTTAGTAAAAGAGAATAATTATTCTCCAAGTCAGAAGAAGAGAGTAGTGGCATTTTCTATCCCGATTGCAGTGGATATCATGCTTCAGATTGCAAGAGGGATGGAATATTTGCACTCAAGAAAGATTTATCATGGGGAGTTGAATCCCTCAAACGTACTACTCAAGCCGAGAAACTTCTCTGCTGAAAGTTGTTATTTCCATGCAAAGGTGGCTGGGTTCGGGTTATCCTCCATCAAAAGAAACTATACATACAAAACCTCCCCAATGCCCAATGGATCCAGCTTGGTATGGGCCGCACCAGAAGTTTTGGATGAAGGTGAAGATCAACATGGGAGCAAATGCTTAGGTGTGTCTCTTTTCAAGTGATTAAGTATTGTTATTTTAACCAAATCAAATCACGTTGTAAAGATCCAAACCATATCAAAAAAATATCGAGACCAGATCAGAGCATAAAGACTCATACTAAACTAGACAAGATCGAAAAAGTCGTATTAGACAAGACTAGAAAGAGTCAGACCATATCGGTATGTTCTACTTCAGATAGGAAAATCAGTTCAGATAAAATTCAACTAGGCCAGTAAACAAAAATCAGATCAAACCTGAGAATAAGATTCAGACCAAACCTGATAAGACTAAAAAGATCTAGAGTCTAGACCAAACCAAACAAACCTAGACAGATTCAGACCAGACAATTGTGTTATATTCGAGACTAGAAAACCAGACGAGATCAAACGCATTTGATCAGATCCAGACCAAACTTAAAAAATTGTCATATTTTTCAGGCGAAGAGAACAGGTGCTTAGCCAAGAAGTACTCAGAGAAGGCTGATGTGTACAGCTTCAGTATGCTTTGCTTTCAGCTTCTGACAGGGAAAGTTCCATTTGAAGATGGGGAGAGACCAATAGGAGGGAAAATTGGAAGATACTTGAGAGCTGGGGAGAGGCCACTTTTTCCTCATCCCTCACCAAGATACCTTGTGAACTTGATTAGAAAATGTTGGCAAACCGATCCAACCCTTCGTCCGAACTTTTCATCCATTTGCAGGGTTCTCCGTTACATCAAGAAGGTTCTAATTATGAACCCCGAGCACGGCCAACCTGACTATCCGCCTCCACCTGTTGATTATTGCGACATTGAAGCTAGTTACTCCTCCAAGAAGCTCGAAGCATCAGATGGTGGAATCTGTGTGGCATCAGAGATTCCTTTCCAGATGTTTGCTTATAAGGTTGTGGAGAAGGAAAAAACAACAGTGGGGTGTTTTAAAGAGAATCCAGATTCTTCATTGAATGAATGTGTCGTGGGAATTGTAGATGATGATGTCTTCTCAGATATAATTGACACGAAAGATTTACAAACATCCATTGATCAAAGATCAGTTATGTCTGAGGTGGTACAAGGTAAATCTTCAGCTGATCAGAGATTAGCCAAGACCCCAGAAAAGAAAAATCTAAGCAACGGTTTAAGATTATTAACCACAATCCCTGAAAAGAAAAACCTTTCCTTCTCAGAAATTGGTCAATCCTCTGCTGCTACTCTCGAGAAAGCAACTGCTGCTTCAAAACCAGCAAATTCAAAGTTCCAAGCTAAGGACACTCCCTACAACAAGAGATTTAAAGACACGAAAGCAGGTTTGCTATATTTCATTTTCATTTTCATTTACCCCAGTGCCGCAAAGGCTCCCACCTATGGTGGGGTAAGGGGGGGTCGGATGTACGCAGTCTTACCCCTGTACTAAAGCACAGAGAGACTGTTTTCGGTTGACCCATACTGAAAATCACGTCCAAAATTGCATGGACTGACTGCTGTTCCATAACAAAGAAGCGCAGACAGTTTAGTGAGCCATTTTGCTTTATTCCATCATTTTATTTGTTATAGGTTTGCTATATTTGTTTTTATTAATTCCTTCATTTTAAATTCATTTCTCAATAGCTTGATATATAGTAAGAGATTGATGTTACAGACATTTTAAATACAGGAAAACTAAGAGATCAGTCCCCAGTACCTTTTCCTGGAAGGATTACCAGAGCGTATTCATCACCGGGATTTTCAGCCCCAGGGTTCACCAGAACATCTTCATCACTGGTTGCTTCACCAATACATCCTCAGAGAGCTTGCTCTTCACCGTCAAGAGGTCCTCCAGCAAGGACAACGGACTGCCAATCTGTTGTGAGCCTAAGGGGACAGAGGAAAGCACAAGAAAAGGATGCAGAGATACCCTAGCCCATCTTCCACTGTCCTTATATCACACATATGACCATGTTTGCTTAAACCTTTCTTCACATAGTTTAGGCTCCTCCAACACATAAATTTGGTTTAAACTTAAATTTTAACCTTTTTGTGAAATTTTTGTTCCATATACCCCCAGGTTAGAGATTAAGCTACATTTGGACCTTCCACTCCTTTGCCACTGCCAAAATGCAGGATAATGTACATGTATCTTTCATGCAAACATTTTGTGTTACATATATATAATGATCTCTAATTCTCTATGTTTTAAATTCACAGACCTTCACCAATGCTTTAAATCTTTCACCTGATCTGAGGAAATTCTTTGACAGCAATTTTACAGCAATGTCCCAAACTACCTTTGTTTAATTTTTTTTAAAAATGATCAGCTTTTGGGTTTATATGAACACTATAATGATTTTGAGTTCAAATGAAAAGAATACAACACAGCAGCTTCACGTAGTATGATCAGTCTAGCTTTATGAATAAATTTTAAAATATTTCCGAATGTAAAAAATGAATGGATGAAATGCTATTTCTTTGACATCCTCTAGAGATGACATTTCATCAAATTTCCCAATGTTGCTATCCTCATGAGTAATGATAATTGGAAAAAGCGCTAGAGTTGAACATAAACAAAAGCATCCAAAGCAGAGAGTTGTGCGAAAAAACAACCATGGTAAGTGTTTTTAAAGCTTTCCATGTACATGGCAGCATTTTCACATTTCAGCAAAACAACATAGACTTTAACAAGAACCATAGGTTAGAAATAAGATTAGAGACTTAGATATCCTACCATTCCAATTTCTAGCAAAAAATGACAGCAACCATGCATATGAAATGCTGGCAACAACAAAAAAGCTATTTGCATCTTGCTACTGGACAAAATGACATTAATCATAAACACCATTTTTAACATGAAGAGCAGCTTGCATATGTACAATCTTCATTCTTTCAGAGCACACTACAGCCTGGGGTGTATGGAATTGTGACAGAACAATCGATCCTCACCACTGGAGTAAATTCGAAAAAGTTGCTCACTGTACTGAAGAGCTAATCTTTTAGATTGTGCAATAGCCACAGGAGAGGCTTCCAACATAGACCTGTTAAGTTTGTTCTCTGGATTCCCATCAATGAGATACTTGGCCAATTCAACCCTGAAGGAAAAAAGGAAAAAGTTATGATTTAAAAGATTAAAAAACACCTAACTGATATGTGATTCTTTGAACCATTTCATTGACCATACCATAATTTCCTTAATGAATAAATCATACAATATGTGAGTAAGTGATTCACCATGCAATGAAGATATGGAATAGATCAGCATCATTACTCATCGGAATTAAGTACCTTAATCCTAACTAGTTAGGATCCACAGCATGAACCTTGTTGTATCAATTACAAAACTAACCACTCCTTACTACCAAAAGGGAGGTGAGTCACTTAAAAATTGATGTGGGGGCATTTGTGGGTCGGATGTATCAATGACATGGCAAAAACCTTGTCGGTCAGTGCCAATGAAGTGACTGCGGGAAGACTACAGCAAATTCAGGGCAGCAGACTTATCAGTATTGTTATTACTACTATACTTCTAGGTTCCTAATTATTGTTATTTCCTTATATAGTTTTATGTGGCTTCCTTCATCCTATGTTATTGGCCCTTGTATTGGCTATACAATGAGACCTTGAAATAATATATTAAACTACTTATGGAGAACTGAATCAACTAATTATTGTACTTCAAAAAACTCGGCACAGATCAATTCCACATTAAGATTTATTTGTTTGTTTCTCTCTCAAAATAATCATAAATCCTAAGCTTCATCTTTCAATTAGTAGTTCAAGTACGCTACTGTTCTCTCTAAATTGGTTCACACTCTAAATTCATGCAACAAAACATAATGCAACCTGATGCCCCTCCTATCCCAACCTTCATATATAAAGGAATAATGATATGAAATTTTAAGACAGACATCACTGTACATTATTTTATTTATTTCCAGTTACATGGGAAATATAATGAGACGGGCAGACAGCAATGGTTTGTGATAGTTGGTAGACTCATGTCCCATTTACAAGATCGAATTTTTAAAAGCCCAACGTGCAAGTCATGAAACACTAAACCAGATGTTATCACCGAAAAATAACAATCAACGGATAATCCGTTGCCCAAGCTAATTTAGCTAATAAATCTGAATATTATTGATGATCCTTTGAATAGCCCTGCGAAGGGTTTAAATAATACTCCCTCTGTCCCGCTAAGATTGTCCCATTTTACCTTTTCGAGAAATCCCACTAAGATTGTCTCATACCGAATTTGGTAAAGTTTGTGTGGCTCTAGATCATGTTTACTTTATTCTTACTTTACCAATTTAATATCAACCACACAAACCCACTTTTCTTAATAATTGTGTCACCTTCTCTTGTCCCAATTTTAGTGGGACGGAGGTAGTAATCCGTACATCAATGTTCCAGTAGGAAACTAAATTAATTGTATGTAGCCCAAGTCCTACTGGGAAACGAGATGTTCCAGTAGGAAACTAAATTAATTGTGCGTAGCCTAAGTCCTAGTGGAACTAGATTTACGTAAGAAGCCTAAGGGAATTCTAATTAAACATAATTGAAGCTAATTAAAATTAATAACCCAGCCCACGGATAACCCAACCCATGAAAGTGGACTCAGGCCCGTCCCCGCCTACGGTAGACCAACAGGAGCCTGGGTCTCAGACCCCCTTCTTCCAACCCGTCTCCCTACTCCCCCTGCCCTATAGCAATTCCATCCTCAGAAGAAATCCTGCCCTCAAGGTTAAAATCTGAAAACTGGCTCACAGAACTCTCTTTACTAACAACCATTTGACTAACAATTCTTCCCTAGCGGCCCCCTTGTCTCCTCCCGATCTACTAGCCAATATTTCTTCAGGTTCCCATATCGGCCCCACAGACAGTTCCAAGCTCTCAGGCAGCTCACTTTCTATTGGATGATCACCCACCACCTGCCGTAGCTGTGAAACATGAAAGACAGGGTGTATGCGGCTGGAGGAAGGCAACTCCCGTCTGTAAGTTGTCAGCCCCACACGTGCTTTGACCATAAATGGCCCATAAAATTTTGGTGACAACTTATGATGATCACGAAGTACTGTAGATTGTCAATGGGGCCTTACCATCAATAACACCTTATCCCCAACTTCAAAATTCTTCTCGCGTCGATGTTTATTAGCCTGGGTAACCATGCGCTGCTGTGCCTTCATCAAATTCTCCTTTAAATGGACCATCATAGCATCCCGTCTGCCCAAAGCATCTGCTACAGCAGCCACCTTGCTTTCACCAGGTAGAAATCGGCAAATGGTGGGCGGTGGTCGGCCATAGACTACCTCGAACGGGGAAATTCTGGTTGCTGTCTGAAACGTCGTATTGTACCAATATTCAGCCCATAAAAGCCACCTAACCCACTGTCTCGGCTGCTCACAAGCAAAGCAACGTAAATACATTTCCAACACTCGGTTTAATACCCCGGTTTGGCCATCCGTTTTTGGATGATAAGCCGAGCCATAATTCAACTGTGTTCCTGATAAAGCAAACAATTCCTTCCAGAATGTACTGACAAATAAGGAATCACAGTCACTAACAATAGATCGTGGAATGCCATGTAACCTGACCACTTGTCTGGCGAATGTGTCAGCTACAGAATGTGCTGTGATAGGGGCTTTGAGGGCTGTAAAGTGCTCATATTTGGATAGTCAGTCTACTACCACCAGAATTGTCGTGTAGCCCTTCGACTTGGGCAAGCAAGTGATGAAATCCATGGAAATATCTTCCCAAATCAGGTTGGGAATGGGTAGGGGCTGGAGTAGTCCGGCTGGTGACATTGCTTCATATTTGGGTTTTTGACAGACTACACTGGGTCACATACTCCTGCACTCGCCTGAACATACCTTTCCAAAACACATTCATGGCTAACCTTCGGTAGGTGCGATAAGCACCTGCGTGTCCCCTGCTGGCGTATCAAGGAAATCTTTCAGCAATTGAGGAATCCACTTAAAATCTGGGGGCAGCACCAGACATCCTTTGTAGAACAAACGCCCCCCTATCACTTCATAACCTGGCTTACTTGTTGGATTAATTAGGAGTGCCTGGACAATTTCTTGCAAAGATTTGTCCCTCTTCTGTTCTTTCACATCAGCCATTCCCAACCATTCTGGCCCACTGACCACTGTAACCCCCTCTCCTCTTCTGGATAAGGCATCAGCCGCCACATTCGAGATGTCAGTTTTATATTCAATCTCAAAATCATACCCCATCTACTTCGCCACCCAAACCTGCGGATCTAGTGTTGCTATTCAACGGATAATCCGTTGCCCGAGCCAATTTAGCTAATAAATCTGAATCTTAGTTACATAAATCGCTGAAGACCCCGCGATCTGCGCTCCGAACGATGCGTAACCAATCGCGGTACGAAAGCGTTCCAAACGCTACAGGGATCACTTTCCGATACGGTTCCCAGGTCATTCCCAATCGCTTAAGAATGTGTTCGCATCCGCCCTCCATGTCGTTCTCAACTGGTATCCAGGTCGTTCACAACTGGTCTCCAAGTCGTTCTCAAATGCTATCAACAATCACTGTTTCCTTTCTACATGCACATATGAAGACCCCAAGCGTTCCTGAAGACTCAAACAAACCTTTTCGTTTTCTGCTCTAGGTCATCAACAGGGTCGAACCAGAGTACCAGACTCTTTGTATTCCTACGCCACTTACTCTTCCTAGTGTCACTTATTTAATGGAGTGAAATTCATTTTTCTGTTTTAAACTTTTAATTAATGTTTTTGTGTTTTCAAATGAGTCTAGTTTCTACGTGGCACAATTTTAATGTTATTTATTTTGTTTAATGCTATGAAATCTGTTTTTATTTAATTTTATGAAATCTATAATTCAGTTTTATTATAGTACCAAAACATAAGGTACATCGTACTGAACGCGTACCGAACGCGTACCAAAATGAACCTACCCCCTCCGAATCGGATACGCTAGATCTAGTGAACCGTGTCCCCGTTCCTTGTTCCCGTATCAAACCGTACCGCGAACCATGTGACTATGATCTGAATATTATTGATGATCCTTTGAATAGCCCTGCGAAGCGTTTAAATAATAATCAGTACATCAATGTTCTGGTAGGAAACTAAATTAATTGTGTGTAGCCTAAATCCTATTGGGAAACCAGATGTTCTGGTAGGAAACTAATTTAATTGTACGTAGCCTAAGTCCTAGTGAGAAACTAGATTTATGATAGAGAACTTCGCAATTACAGAAGTTAACTAACAAACAGAAGAATGATAACTAAGAAAACTGAAAGCTTCATTAATGAAGAATCCGAGTACACAGTCCCAAAGAAGGAGATAAAACTCCAACTTCCCAGTCCAAGACCAAAAATCTAAACAGCCTAGTCACCTCTCCCAGCCTTATTCTATTTATAACCATCGCTTAACCGTAAGTAGTTAATAGCTAATGACAGAAAAACAACTATTAACCAACTAGTCTATTTATTTCTCTAGAATAGACTTGACCAGATTCCTATCAATACTCCCCCCTAAAACATCCACCTTGTCCTCAAGGTGGGAAGATAGGAACCAAGCCTGGAATTCAGCTTCCTCCTGGTGCCTCTCCCTTCCCAGTACTTCGCTGAAGGCGGTATAAGACGTTTCCATACTTCGAGTCCTCTAGATGAAAAATTCTTGATCATCCTATCTCTTGAGTGAAACTTCACACTAAATAGCTCATACAGAACTTCTTCCACACTCATGTCAGAAGAAGGTTTAAGAGAACTTGAGTCATACTGTATTTTTCTTTCTGAATTTAAGACTTCATCAATCTCCAATTGTAGCATTTGTTCCATTATATTGTACACCCTGTTGTCAAATTTAAGCCTAGGCTTTTTTCTTTGTATAGTGCACCCATCAGCTGAAAATCAGAAAAGTCCAATGCAAATTCAAAAGAAGTAACAATTATCAAAGGGCCATAAGTCCAACGAAAACCAGGATTGTTCTGTCCCAAGTAATTTCCTGGCATTCCAGAAGACCTTGCCATAGAATGGACCGGATCACCATAGAAATTTTTTGAAAATTTTGATGTATCAACAACTTCGCCTAGAGCTTGTTGGTAATTCTTAAGGGTCATTATCTTTATTAGTCTTGTGAAAAAATCAAAAACATCAGGAAAGGATAGAGCTGTCTTTGCAGAAATGTCTCCCATGAGATAACTTTCAGGTGCTTTAAATGATTCATGCAAGTCAAGTTTGATGTAGTCTTACCTGCTCTCAACCCATGGCTCCAATTCTGCTCCATGTATTTCAAGGTGTTGGTCAACGTTAAACTTATCAACATCATGAATTTTGCGGTTTCCAAAAATGATAGCATATTCTCCTGAAACAAGATCAACCTCCTCCTCCTGAGACTCTGTACCAGATCTCTTTTTACCAATGCATGAATTTTCTGAAACCATTTCCTTTGGTTGTCGAGGTTGTTGACTTTTGACAAGAACAGCTTTATCATCTGCAGTGTTCTTGATTTTAATTAATCCAGTTTCAGAAGCAATTAGGACTCTAGTTCCCAATGAACAGGGTTGGTGAAACAGATCCACAATATAAACTTGGCTGGAAATTAAATCCGCATAGTCTGCAAGATTAGGAGAAACATAATCTGGCCATTGAATAATCTGTCTTTGCTCCTCGAATTCGTCCTTCTTATTCATTTTCTGGATTACAGATTTCTTTGGCTCCATCTCGGTCTTCTTTGTCGACTGGGAAAATTCTTGCGCATGTTGAGAAACGGCAGGCGATTGCAAACTAAAAGAAGCTGTCTGCGCTTGCGAACCAGAAGAAACATTTAGCGATTTCGGCTGCGATGAAGAATTCTGAGAATGGGGAGAAATCGTTCGCGATTGCGAAGTAGGAGAGACAGTTCGCGATTTCGAACTAGGATACGAAGGTCGCGATTCAGTCTGTGAACTTCCGTGCTCCCTCTTTTTCGCGATATTCCCCATTTTTCCGCGTGAAGCCTTTTGTGAGTGCGAAACAGAAGAAACAGTTCGCGACTCCTTATGCGAACTGGTGAGCGACTGCGACGAACAATTTCTAGGGTTCCCCGCTTGACGTGCGATGTTACCACTCTCTCCATGATCGCAATTTCTTGCGCGTCCATGGTGCGAAGTACTTGATCGATGCGAATGACTCCTCGAAATTCTGACCTTCAATTCTGCGATGCTAGCTTGCATCGCCACTTGCATCACAGCCATATTAGCCGCTATATTCGCCACCCTAGCTTGCATTTCACGCTGATTCCTCTCCACTTCATTGAGTCATCCCTCCATTTTCACGCGTGTGTATCTCAGCGATCGACGGCTCTGATACAAATGATAGAGAACTTCGCAATTACAGAAGTTAACTAACAAACAGAAGAATGGTAACTAAGAAAACTGAAAGCTTCATTAATGGAGAATCCGAGTACACAGTCCCAAAGAAGGAGATAAAACTCCAACTTCCCAGTCCCAGACCAAAAGTCTAAACAGCCTACTCACCTCTCCCAGACTTATTCTATTTATAACCATCGCTTAACCGTAAGTAGTTAATAGCTAATAACAAAAAAAAACTATTAACCAACTAGTCTATTTATTTCTCTAGAATAGACTTGACCAGATTCCTATCAATTTACGTAAGAAGCCTAAGGGAATTCTAATTAAACATTATAAGAAGCATAATAAAGGAAACAACATAATTGAAGCTAATTAAAATTAATAACTCAGTCCACGAAAGTGGACTCAGGCCCATCCCCGCCTCTGGTAGACCAACAGGGACCTGGGTCTCGGACCCCCTTCTTCCGACCCGTCTCCCCTGCTCTATATCACCAGAAGTGCTCAACAAGCATATATGATGCTCATCATCATTTTCATCATTTTCATTTACCCCAGTGCCGCAAAGGCTCCCACCTACGGTGGGGTAAAGAGGGTCGGATGTGGGGTAAAGCACAGAGAGACTGTTTCCGGATGACCCATAGTGAAAATCCCATCCAAAATTGCATGGACTGAATGCTGCTTTATAACAAAGAAGCGAAGACAGTTTAGTGAGCCATTTTACTTTATTCCATCATAATCTCAAGCCAAAAAATAATGAATCTTTGGCTCCATTGCAAATGATGGAGCATATATGATGCTGCATTAAATAAATCATAAAGGTCACTTGACCTATAGTTAAATAAAGAAGGTGTTCCTGGTTAATTTTTAATTAAGAAAGATGAAGGCATATTGCCCATTTCCCTCCACTACTGTGATTAAAGCAATCACTAGAAATGGACACCTTAGGGTCTAATTCCTAATATTTAATTCTTGTGGCCATGAAAACATCACTTCACACGTATTATCTTGCACCCTGTAACTAATATTACCAAGAACCTTCAGATAAAAATTTGTTTATCAGGTCAGCTGGGTATCTTCAAGGCATGCTCTTCACGCTATGGAAATGCAGAAAACAGAATATGTTGACAAGGAAATTATAATGAGTTGTAAAATGATGGTAAAGTTTGAGCTCCAGATAGAAATAGAGAAATGATGAGTACTAAGTGGGAATTCAAATCATACCCAATTTGATCATTAGGCTCAAATCCTTTATCCATGGCCTCCAACGTCAGAGGTGCCGAGAGGAGCTTCCTATATAGTGCACAGATGGCACTCATGCAAAGTTCGCCATCATCTGCAAATGCCAAGCACATCTCAGATTCTGAGAGGCATTTTCTGCTTCCTTTAGATGCTTTGGGTTTTTTTGGGCTGCCAAATACAGGTGCCACCAATTTTGCTTCATGCATTGCTTCTTCATCATACTTCATCTTCTTTCTACAATTGGAAGGATTGTCCATAGGCAACTCGTCTTCACTGTCACTGAGAACAACTACATGTGACTCTGTGATAACATAAAGTAAACATTCAATTAAAATATAGAGGAAGCAGCTTGGCACTAATTAGATTTCCATCCCTTCAAGATACAAATTCCTGCCATCGGTGAACCGCATAGGTTATGAAAGTAAACTAGGAAAGCATTAAAATATAAACTATATGTATTAATGTATTATTATACCCATAAATGAAAAGCACATGAGTATAAGATAATCTCAATACACCAATGTGCATCACCAAATAGGCAAATATCCATTCTAGCTAGCAACAACATACAGTTAGGAAAGAAAGCCATAAGATAATCTTAGTACGTACCACAACATAAATTAGACCATAAAAGCATACTTATTTGTAGAAGAATACCTTCTTTTTTGGGGCTAACTCTGGCAACATTAGGTTCCAGCTTTTGGGTACCAAAATTAAGCCCTTCCTCCTCAGTTGGGAGCTCACCATCGAGATACTCTTCGATGCTTGTTAGTGTAGGGATGTCCCGGCCCATTTTTGTAGTCATGTCCTCCTTCATACGATTTACCTTCGCGTCCAGCTCGGCATATTTCTCAACATACTCCTTTTTATTGGCATCTAATTCTTCAATTGTGCGTTTGAGCTTAATATTTTTCTCAGTCAGATCTTCATTTTCTCGTTTGTATTTCTCCAATTCGCCCCTTATGCTCAAAATTTCCAAGTCCCGCTCCTTCATAGCAGACTCGGTGGCGCTCTTCAAGCTCTCCAACTCACTCTTGAGGGCATTTTCCCGGTCGCTGAGTATCTTCTTTCCCAGGTCGAAGTCCCTTGGTAGAAACGATGATGTCAGAAAATCAACGAGTTCAGAAATGGAGGAGCTTGCGGTGATATGGGCGGAAAGCAAAGGTTTCCTGTCCTTGACTGTTCGGGCAGAAAGAGAGCTGAAGGACATTGAAACAATGCCTATGTTCTGTGCGTCTGGATGAACTTGCCTGGGAATTACCATGCGTCGGTAGGACAAGAGAAAGTGGAGAGCAAAAAATGGATTTGCAACTGAAGAGTCGCAGAGAGCTTGTGCTGGGTTTTTTACTTTTTTGGTGTGATTTTGGATATAAGATTATGGGAGTTCCTTACCTTACGACTAGAAGCGGTGAGGTATTAAGAGAAGGGTGTGCACCCTGGTCCAAAACCGGATCGGAACCGGTTAGGACCGGAATCGGAATCATTGGACCGAAGACCGGACCTGAATCTAACCGGTGCGGACTGAATTTCACGGTCCGGTCCGGTCCGGTCCGGTTTTGACCTTAATTGACCTGGTTTTAGAAAAAGACATTCTCTTAGAGGGATCTTAACCGACCCAATTTTTTTTAGGAATAAGGCTTAGATGTTGTTATTGTTTCAAACTATAATTTTATGTGTGGATATGCTAAATAAGCTAAATAATCGTTTAGCTCATTTATTAATTTTGAAATATAGTCATTAAAAATATTCAGTCTTAACAATTAGTTTCCCGCAGTAATTAAAACTACAATCTTTTGTGTATATTAAAATGGAAAAATGTATTGTAGAGTAATAAAAACTAAATTACATCCAAAAATATACTACGTATAAACTACATGCACACCTGCAAATAAAGAAACAAATAAAAAACAATTTGGAAAAATCAAACAAATATAAACTATGATCATAGTAGTGAACACTTGCACATGAATAAACAAATCAAAAACAACTTAGGAAATAATAAGAGACCAAATATACACCCCATATATATTCATGTATATAATAAAAGACGAAAGTAAGCCATATAATGACTAATGATACATAACGAAGTATATATTTTACGGAACAATAGTTTACCGGTCCATTCCGGTTCGGATCTGTTTTTTCCGGGTTTGACCCGGACCGGACCGGAACCCGGAATCTTGAAAAACTAAGGACCGAAACCCGGACCGGTTAATATCGGTCCGGTCCGATTCATTCCGGTCCGGTTCCGGTCTAAAATACGGTCCGACCTGGTTAATGCACATCCCTAATTAAGAGTCCAAAATGTAGTGAAATTCTCATAAATCATTGTTGTGGTTGGTTAAATGGGGGCGGCACATGTGGCGCGCAGAGGGGAAAAGGGGGGGAAGGCCAGTGGGTCATGTGCCTATTTGGGATGTGCGAAGGAAATGTTTAGAGTGTTGATGTCAGGCTGACTTCGTGTCGATGTCACAGAGCACTCATTTTTAAAAATATTGGTAGATCCAATGGTTGTGATGATTTGGACACTGTTTGAACGGGAAAAAAATCGATCCAACGGCTGAAATTAAAATCCAACGGTTAAAATAATTTATTTTATTTTTTCATTATTTTTAATTAATATCTTGTCCGAAAATCCTATATAAACAACTCATTCCTTCATATTTTAATCACACATCTCTCATTTATCTCATTCTTCTTCATATTTTCTTTACTATCTAAATTTTTGTGATGTCTTCCTCAAGAAGTTGTGCTAATTGGAGTGTTAGTGATGATGTAGCTCTATGCAACGCTTGGTTAGCATATCCTAAGATGGTGCGATAGGCATAAATCAACCGAGGGAGAGTTTTTGGGGCCGAATTCACGTATCATTTTCGCAAAATTGTGACATTCCACGGAGTCGGGATTCAATTGAGTCTCGTTTCAAGATCATCAATCACCAATGCTCTTCATGAAAAGCTTGTGTGCAGAAGGCGAACGCAACCCCAACGAGTGGGTCGAACTTAGCCGATTTGATAACTTATAAACTACTTCATTATTTCATTTTAATTCATAAAGTATATATTAATATATTTTATATAACTATATTAATATTTTGAAGAGATATAAATAAATGTTTTGAGAGAGATATATAACTATACATATAACTACAATTAATAAGGTGTATATTAATATATTTTCGAAAGCACAATAGTGTGGTCGTCTCACTCAAACGACATAACTGATCTAATGAATCAGCCGAGCAACCATTGGCGAGCATAAATATCGCACCGGTGAGTTTTTGTTGAGGAGAAAGAGATACCTTGTTTGATGCACCTACTGTACTCAGAAAATACGGATCGAAAGCCATGACATCTTTCATGATTCGATCGAACAAAGCCGGTTGCGTGCGATAACGGCGTCGGAAGATACGTGCGTTGTATGTGGAATTTGGATTCCAGTAATCATTCATCAACAAACGTTATCCAGCTTCTCGACCACGATCTATGTACTCAGGGCTATTGGAGCTTGTTGCAACCAATTCAAAGAAGCCATCAAAGCCATGCGCATGCGGTCGGAATAGGCTTCTTCATCTTCATCTTCATTGATGGATATGTAAAATGCGGGAAAAGAACTCATGATTTTATTTGGCCTTGTAGTAGAATACTTGAAAATAGGAGAAGTAAAGATGAGGTGTGTAACTCCAATGTCAAGTGAAACCATGTATTTATAGTAATATACTCCGTAGTTCTTTGATGCTCACACCAAGTGGAGGATACATCCAATTTATTATGTTTGGATACAACAAGTGGAGGATACATCCAATTTATTATGAAAGGACACACATAGTGAAAAAGAGAATCCAATGTCATATAATGTGATATGAATGACACACATAATGGAAAAGAGAATCCAAGGTGATATGAATACACACAACAAGTTGAAAACGAAATCTAATCTGCTATGGATAGACACACAAGTTGAGAAGATAATCCAATGCTCCAATGTGTTTGAACTCACTTCATCGAAAAACGTAAAAAAAATATTAATGAAATTTGTTTTTTTACATCGAAATGTGTCTTTTTTATTTTATAATTAATCAGAGAAAAAATTAAAAGAAAAACATTACTTATAATAATTTACTTAATTTTTTACTAAGTTGATATGTAAAAAATGTGCAGAGTGTATTTTATTGACAGTACTAGAATGCAGAGAAATATGAGTCAAAACACTGTTTTCATATGGACGGAGTCCATTTTTTACATTTAGACTCTCCCACCACTCAAATGGTCTTACAGCCGACTTGTGGGGTGGATGACATTTTTGTAATTTTGATAAAAATTGTAGGGGTGGGCATGGTCCGGGACTGAACGGGAATTGGGTTATCCCGATACTAAATCCAATTTACAATAACGGTTCGAAACGGGACGGGACAAAACGGGATGTTTCGGGACATCCCAAAAACTGTGGTGAAAAAATTGCCATCCCAAAAATAAAGCAAATCTCTTTGGGAAAAAAAGTAGCGCAAAAAACTTTGACAAAAAATTTGCACTTGATCTAGTAAATTGTGAGAAAAAATGCAACTAACCAGGTTAGTTTCAAGGAACAAAAGTTGCAGTAAAAAAAACTAAGACAAAAAACTATTAAGAAATCCGTTAAAAACTGATAAAAGAATACAATAGGCGGTGAAGCCTTTGGTAGTAAAAATCAAATTTTTTTGTAGAGAAATGATAGTTCATAGTTCATACTAGGTAGTTTAATTTTTTTTATGTGTTATATGCAATCATTGGTATTTGGGTTGTGGAAAGAAGATAATTATTACTGCCTCCGTCCCTAAAATGATTGCCAAATTTGATCGACACGTAGAATAATGAAGTAAAAACTGTGTGGTAGAGATTTGTGCAGAGGAGAGAGAAATAACAAGAACCACACATTAATTACTAAAAGAGAAAGTGGCAAAGTTTTTGGGACAACCAAAAAGGAAAAGTTGTCAAAGTTATAAGGGACGGATGAAGTATTAAAAAGGATCATTATTATTATTTGTTGTAAATGTAAAAGGATAATCATTAGTATTTTTTTATTAATATTAAAAAAGGATAACTATTATAATCTGGATTACATAATGAGTTGTTGATAGACTCACTAATCTACAAAGTACAATTTTGGATTCGGGACAATGGGACGGAACGGAATATAGTTTACTTGTCTCAATCCCGTTTTGTTTTGAGACGGTCCAAGACCGATACCGGACAAAAATAATGTGTCCCAAATATAACGGGACAATTTCGGAACGGGACCGGAACATTCCGGAATGGACCAACAGGACCGGGTCTTTTGCCCACCCCTAAAAAATTGTGATTTCTTTTTAAATGAGTATTACTGCAATTTTATTGAGCATGTCTTTTTTTTACTTCAGGGGCGTCTGGGGGAGGGGGTTGGGGGGCCTGGAGTAATCAGGGTTGAAACTCACTCCATTGAGTTTCAAACCCTTATGTGCCTAGCGGGTTTCGAACCCGAGATCTCCCACTAGGCACGATAACCTCACAACCAGTTGAGGCTGGAATGCTTGGTTTATTGAGCATGTCTATTTAGTATTAAAATCTAATATTGAGCATGATAATTTCTGCTCCAAATTTTGTAATTCACTTTTTCTTAATTTTTTAAATATATGTAATGAACATGTTTGAGTCCAATATGTGTATCTAGTGTAATATTATACTGTTGAAATATGCACGGATATTACATTTTAAAATGAGATTTACACAAATGTCAAATGAGTATACATAACATACAAAATCGGCATCGGAAAATTCCAAAAAAAAAAACTCGTTTAAAATCTCTTGTATGCTAGATATGTAAATCTAATGTAATATGGTACTTCTCAAATATGCATTGATACGACACTTTAAAATGAGCATAACATCATTATCAAATGAGTATACATAATTTTCAAATGAGCAGCATCAAAACATGTTCACCGAGTATCAACTCTTCTCTGTTGTGTATTAAAAGCATTCAATTTAGTATCGTGATCTATGTTCCTAGAACTAAATGAGCATATGCAATTTACAAAATGAGTATCGAAAAGTTCAAAACCTCATTTCAAATATGTAGTGGCCCAAATATACATTTGTGTATATTCATACATTTTAAGCTTATACGCATTGAGTTTAACATATGTAACAACTTACTATTGAGCACTTTGTGCATCCCCTCCTTGAATTGAGAATCAATCGCCCGAATTCATTATTGTTATTATTTTGAAAATAAAAGAGTGACTTTTATATTAATATCAAGAAAGCATATTATAAGCCAACCTCCAGACAATTACAACATATCCAATCTTAAATGCTACGAATAGACATAGAATCAGTCATCTTATACAAAACACCCTTTCTCGCTAAA